ATTCAAGTTTAAAAGCAAGCGATTTAGTTAATCTATACACATAACAGGATTTTGAGCTGATTGCTAATAAGGTTTGCAATAAGAAAATATATGTCTTGGTTGATATTTTGCCTTTTTGAGTAATTTCAGATTTTCATAAACCGAAAAGCAAAATGAGTTTTCCATTTAAAAAAGTTCAATTGGAATAGAAGTGGATTATCCTTTAGAGATCAGAGTATCAAAACTATCAAGTAAGTTTTTCTAAATACTTTTGGGGCTTAGTTTATCATCTGAAATTAAGTTCTTAGCAGAAACGTGCAATGGTTGTCTGTTAACCATTGGAAAGTTCTTGGGGCATATTAATAATAGTTTGTTTAGGTAACTAGTTCCTAAATTGTGGTATTCCTGCTAGAATTTTTCAGAATTGCTTTTTTCAGACTTCCAGTCTGCCTTTCGTACCAGTTAGGAGATTTCTCACTGGTTGGAAAGCTGAATCTGCATCTGACAACATCTGGTGTCTAATTTTTACTCCAAACTCTTACCTCTGTCTCCCCTCAGCATCTTAGCTTTGAACAATACAGAAGTAATTGGGAAGAGTGGTAATGATTTTCAAAATTGCTTTGGGTAGGTAGAGTATTCGAAAGGAAAGCCAGCAGCTGCTGCTGACAAGGTTCATTATTTCAGTTGGCAAGATTCAGTGTCCAAACAGGAATTTTGAGGAATTTACAGTATTTAAAGAATCTAGTTGTAGTAGAAGGCCAAGTAAGATTTTGACTTTTTACTGAAACTTTGCAGGGAATTTGTAGCAGAGCAATGTGGCACTTCCATTTGGTGGTAGCTAGTTGGAGTGGAGCCCCAGCCCACTCCAACTAGGAAAAGAGCGTGTCTGCACTTGAACAAAATGTTGTGTTTTGGAATTACAGAAGATAAATATGAACAACCAGTAAGGTGTCTGGGGCCTAAAGTGACCAAAGAGATATTATTTTTCCCTACAGATATCTGGCAAGCTCACAAGCCATGCTTGTGAGTTTTATCAAGTGTTTGTGGTAAGTCAGAGGTCAGCCTTAAGCCTCTGCTTTGCAAGAGGTTATCGTCTAACAAATATATGTGTGCAGGGACAACACCTGTATGTAATGCCAGGCAAAGTAAGCAGGATTTAAAGTAGGCGGTTTGTTGTTTGTGTCACATTTTTAGTAGCTCACTACACTTTGGAAAAGTTCAAGTAGATAGAAATAAACGATATAATACTGCATTAATTAAAACACATCTAGTTGGTTTGTGCAGTTAAAGAAGTGTTTAGTAGACCTTGGAATGTATCCATAGCACAAGATAAATATAAGTGGTGTATGTATTTTCAGATCAGATTTACTTTGTTGTACTCATGTTTAAGTTTAATCTTAAAATCTTAAGTGTTCCACAGATACTAGATTAGACTCCAGATTAAATTGGGTTTAAAGAAATACATTTTTTCCTTTTTGTTTTTCTTGGATTTATACAAGACAAAAATTTTTCTTTTTTTCAAATTTTTTTTCAGATTATTGAAAAATCTTTTTTTCACTTTTTAAAAACCTACAGCATAATTTTATTATCAGAAACTGCAATAGAAGTATTAAAAAATAAAACAACTTAAGTCTGAAAGTTGACAGTAATCTCTTGCTTGCTCATTCCATATACTTCTTTCCAGAAAAATGGAAAATTTAAATGTAGAATTATGACTCTCCAAATTACCTTTAGCATTAAAATAGCTTCTACTCACAATTACTTACAAAGTAGAAAGAATGAGTCTTCTCAGTCAATACATTTTCCATTCCAGTCTTATATCAATTGTATGTAATGCGTGGAGTTTAGTAGCCTATTTTCCACACAGAGTAGAAAGCAACTTTCAAAAAATTCATTAACGCTATTAAGAGCTGTAGTTGAAATATCACAGTTGACACCATTTATAGTTCTTCGTTACTTACTTTAAATAGCTGTGAATAATCAAGGGAGATTTCTTTCTGCTATGTGAAGAACAAAAATGCTAGGTAGTATTTGAGAATTAAAGGTTCAGTTAAAAATAAAGCTGAGTCTTTGTATCCTGCTTGATGTAGTGGATTATCTAATTAATAGTCTGCAATATAGAAATATAAATGTGATATTTTTAAGATAACATTAACATTGTATCTCACTTCATTTTATTAAACTTTTGGGTAAATTTGCCTGAGCAAAGGCAGATACCTGTTAGTAATTCTGTATTTTGCTTGAATAGCTGTTAGTGGCTTTCAGCCATGCAGGCATCTAACCATGTGGAAAATGAAAATGCAAGAGCTGCTGAAGCTTGTACTGTCTTCAAAATGTGAACTTCTAAGTATAAACTGCCTTGGTCTATTTTGAAATTCATTTCTCTAAGACAGGGCCTATGTATTTGCCATGTCATCTATCCTTCCAGTAATGTTTTGAGCTGAAAATTTTGCATCAGCCTTTTGTGGAGGGACAGCAGCCTCCAACCATGCAGAATTCCACAATTTGCAAGAAAGCCTCCCAGATTAGTACTGCTGCTGAGGATAGGCTGTGGAGCAGCTCCAGCAGGTAGTTCTTGCTTTTGGAGGGCTCGTTATGGCTGGATCCTTGGAGCACATAAGCTCAGGAGCCTACAGAGAGCCCAGGAAGGAAGGGGTGAGGGTGACGCAAAGAGGTTGGGTTTCTAGAGAAAGGATCAAGTTAGTCACTGAATCGTGGGACCAGACAGTGGATGTTTTTATGGATAGTGGATCACACCTTTTTATGGATAGTGGATCACACCTTTCTTTTAAAAGTATGGAATGCAAGTTGGTAGGTACCAAATACCATGGTAACACAGTGGTGCTTTTCCTGTATGCTGGGGGACTAAGAGGAGAAGAATTACCCACAATTTGATGATATGACTTAAAAGTGCCTTGTCTTCCTACCCTTGTTCTCTACTTTTTCATATCTGTTGTTAATATTTCAGTCTGTTATATAACAGCAATTTCTAATTACGTGAAGGTATATATAGAAATTAAGAGAATCACTTAAGGATGGTTTGCACATCTTTAATTACAATTCTTAAAACTTTTCTTAAAAGTAACACATGAACAATTTTATTTAGTTGTTTATGTCTGTGTAGTACTTTAGAAGGATACTTTAGTACGTTAAAGAGAAAATGAGTTGATATTGAGAATTGATATTCAGTCTGAGCAGGAAAGGCCTTGAGCCACAGATAACTAGAGGCCAAATGTGCCATGGAGCAGTGTCTTTGCTTTATACAGATGTCTGGATTTGTCCTCTGTTGGAGACAAGATGGTTTCCCTAGAGGGACTTCGGTATTTTGTTGCACACACATATATATATGTGTGTGTGTATGTATGTATATATATGTATAAATATATATTTTAAAAAAAAAGTGCTCATTGTGATTGTTGTTGATATCAGAAAGGTTTTTACTACTTTCTTTCGTGTTGAAATGTCTGTACCATGTTGGTTGAAGTTTCCTTGTATCCATATAAAGTGTCTTGAGAAATAAATCGAATGAATAACTTCAGTCTAGATACTTAACTAATGAATATCCGATGAATCTTTAAATAAATAAAAATAGTGTTTTGTTAGGCTGTTTTATTGGACCCACCTACAATTCTTTAAATACAGGCTAAAAATTAATTGTAGTTAACCTGAATGAAATGTTGTTCCCTAGGCTGGTGCATGTTCACATCTCTTCTGTTCTCTGTTGCAACTAGTTCAACATAGAAGTCTAGGAAGAAAACTTGCCTGTGTAGTCCTGCTACTGATGTGTCTTTTCAGAAAGATTCAGATGTTTCAGATGTTTTCCAAAGGCCTTTAGCCAGCTGCTGTAATAAATAGTTTACCTTCTGCTACCTTAATCTTTAGGCAGTGTTTCCACAGGAGAGTTCTGCGGTACTCTTGGATTCTTCTGTTTGTTGTTGCCTTTTAAGTTCTTCCTGAGCTATGAAAAATGAGAACTTCGGAAGTTCAGCTCATACTCGCTGTTTTAGCTGCAAATTTTGTTTGAATGTAGGTGAAGGATGATGTGAGGTGCAGAATCTCTGAAGAATGTATTACATAAAGAAATTCTGTAAAAAATAAGGCCTTCCTTAGACCTTAATATAGAGTGCTTGTCATATGTTCATCCAAAATAGTGCCTAACATTTTGTATATCAGCTGCAGTTGTAATTTACATCATGCTGTTAAAATTCCGAAGAGTCTTACCTAAAACTTATGAACAGGTTGTCTTTGATTCTTTTTGGGGACAAATTCTGCTTAACATGTAAAAGCTGCACTGATATATTAATTCTATTAGCTGTAAAAATAATGTATGTACGTGATTTTCCCAGCTTTCAAATACTAAACGTGATATACTAAAATGTTTATGAATATTACTTTAAAAATCACCAATTTGTACAGATTTGTATTCTTTTTATACTAAGAAATTTTTCAAAGTACATGTTTTTGAAATCTCCTCACTCTATTTCTTAAACGTTAATCTTAAACATTTGTTTCAGTGGACCAGAATTCTTTCTCTTTTCAGGAAAACATAACGATTTCTCTGCCTTTTATATTACTTACTGCTTTCTCCTTATCAGTTTTTTTTGAAAGCAATTATGATATATGCAAACTTTGGTTGTATTCCCGCTATAAATAAATTATAGTCCAAGCATATGTGTAACTAATCGTTTCACTTTATAGCCTTGCATATTTTGTTTTATGTTATGCTGTAAAGTAGTGACCTCAATCTGAATGTAAAAGAGCATAACTGAGAGCAGTTGTTTAGTTGCTTAAAGTATCTAAAGAAAAAAAAAAAAAAAAAAAAAAAAAAAAAAAAAAAAAAAAAATCCAGTGTAATGTTCATTGTAAGTCATTGCCCCTTTTTGGATTTTCATTTAGTTGTAAAAATGTGTATTCAACACCAATTTTATCTGCTTGAGTGGGAAAAGTGTTTTTCAAAAAGCATCTGATAAGCATGGACTGCAGAAAAGTTTAACTGAAATACCTGTTCGTTCCATCTTCAGAACAAGTTCACAGGCACTTGGACCAGCATGAGGTGAAATACTTGCAATTTGCTTTCCGTTGGATGAATAACTTGCTGATGAGAGAAGTCCCTTTACGGTGCACCATCAGGCTGTGGGACACATACCAAGTAAGGACTACTTTTATACATATATTATGTGCATATACATATACATATATGTACATATAATATGTTTAGGCATACATAAACATATACTTTTATAATTCTGAATGTTTTATGATTTGGACATGTACGTATTTTTGTTTATTAACTTTCCTGAATGTTTTGTGTCTGAGAACATAGCAGCAAGGGGGAAAAAACATCTTCAGTGATCATTACTATTTTGATCCTGCCCTTTAAAAACAAGTAAAATGTGATATTATCACAATTTTTGGTATTGAAGTGAACACCTACTCAGAACGTGATTTAATGTCAATATCCTCTCCTAGCTCTTCATCAAAAAGCAAGATATTAAATTTTACTTAATGCCCTCCATTGATTCTAAGTTCTAGATTTCTTTCTGTCCTAGTTAGCTGCTCATTCCAATATTAGTTTCTAGTCCTCAATTCCCAGTGCTCATCCTTCAATCATGTTTTCTGCCTTATTATTTCTGTGCACTAGACACCTTATGCTACTGAATTCTTAGTGAGATAATTATTTTTTTTTCTCAGTAGTAAGTGGAAAAACTGATATCAGAGAAAAAAGATTTTCCTGTTCTTAATTCTGTTTCTTAATATTTCACTGACTTCTGGCTGCAATTTTTAAATATACATTTAAGCGATGCACTCCTAGTAAGTAGGTCTAGTGTGTTTAAAATTAGCTTATAAAGATTAAAAGCTTAAAAATAATTTATGAGTAATTTCAACTGAATTACTGTGATAGACATAGGGGTAACTGGAGTAACTCATAATAATGTCTCATAAAGGGACGTAAAGTATTTTAGTATCAATGTCACTACAACTGCTTGTTATGTAGCAGTTAGTAGTTAGTAGTCAGACTTTAATGGAAGTAAGTGCATTTAGACCATCTGTTCAGAGAATTCAGAATTCATAGAATTGAACCTATGGCAGAGAGTTTGAATTGCTTGTTATTTCTTTAAGGAATCCAATAAGTTGTTTCAATCAAGTGTATTTTCTAGAAAGATGTCTACAATCTTATATGAAAATGTCAAGATATGAGGAAGCTATCACTTTTCCGGGTACAAGTTATATTTGGTGGTTTATTTTCAACAAATTTGTTGAATTAAACTATTGCCTCCCTTTGGGGTCTCTTCCTATGCAACATTTCCTGTTTTGTCTGATAATAATCTATTATTGTCCGAGATTAATCCCTAACATCTGCTAATACATAGAAATTTCTTCTGGTGGAAAGTAGATTTACTTCACAAGATCTTTCTGATAAACTAACATTTTTAAGCTATTCGGGTGTTTCAGTGTAGCTAATTTCTTTAGTCTTTTAATACTTTTTGTTGCCACTGCTGCAAAATTTCAAATTTGTTGAGTCTAGCACTCATCAATATGCTGTACACAGAGATGTAAAATTTCTTACTTATTCCAGATCACTACACAGATGTATCCAAGCATTAGCTGCCTTTGTCAAATTTTCACTCTGAGCTTCTGATGTGTGAACTGTAATTCCTTAGTAGGTTTTTTTTTTTTTTTTCCCACAAAAGACCAAGATTTTATCTTACTCTCTTATACTATAGCCATGCTGAACATAATCATCTCTTATCCAAAAGCATGGTAGTCTATAGGCAACCATCATATTCTAGTTCAGTGGGATCTAAAGTAGATCCCACTGAAAAAATAGTCCAAACTACCTAAATTTGATAATTCTGAGGTTCTGATTATTTAATTTCTGGTTGGTGGAAATATTGTTTTATTATAGTAGTCATGTATAGTGTTTAGAAACTAAATACCTATTTCCTTGGGATTCCCAAGTTCATATTTTAAATTAAAATCTATGATACCCAATTACTTTTTTTATTTATAAATACCTGTAGAAGGAGTATTTCTTTTTTTCTATTTTAACTCAGTACTAGCATTAGATCTATATTATTTCTTAGATTTTGTTATTTAGTGTACGGTTCCATATCCCTTTTTAAATTGTGTAATTAAACCCAAAAAGGATATCTTACTGTAGAAGGTCACCTTCTGAAAAAAACTAAAACAATATTACAAATTACTTATCAGATTTCATTTGCACTTACATCGAATTTCTTCTCATCCAGTACCAATAATAAGACTCATAAATGCAGTATAACTATAAGAGCTGGTAAAGTTTGTGCTGATATGTTAAGCAGTAACATTATAGATTTCTGTACAAATAACTTGTCATTAAGCCATTTCAGTTGTATATAATTTTTAACTTAATCTTTCACATTTAATAGAAGTATTCAGACTGTGACTTTGGAGAAGATTTGGAGATGGAATTTTTTCAATTAACTTCATCTTCTGATTTGTGATTTTAACAGTAAATCCAAATAATCCAAAATATCATTTTAGAGATGTGTTGGTAAAGAAGTTTTGCTGAGACTAGCTATGGACCTGTGAGGCTGGATTTGAAAGAGATATTCAAAATTAGTAGAGGCAGATACATCATAGGCTATCATATCTTTAAAAGGAGCTTTAGCTTTCTAGACATTTAGCAAAAACAAATGTTAGCAAAAATTGCAAGAGCCTAAATACTACTCCTTATTTAATTGTTTTCCTGAATGTGCTCAAGGGGTAATGATACAGTTATCAGTACTGGTTTTGCTACGTAGTGTCCTAAGGTGAGAAAATAAACGGATTTGGGATTTTGCCTTAGATTTCCAAAGCAATGCCTTGTGCTAAAAGCAGAGCTCATTTTCTCATGACCAGGGCTAGGGGGGTTTAGGGGCATGACAGCACACTTCATATTCTGCTGTTAAGTATTGCTTGCTGTGATAGATAACCGCTGCGCTTTAAACTTGTTTGAAATGTAGATTGATATTTTTTGTAGTTCTTGTGTGAACTTCAATCAGCATTGGACACTTAAATGATGTCCAGCTATTTCTTAAGAAAGGTACTCTGGCTCCTATTTCGTCTTTTGTCTAGTTTAATTCTTAATTCATCGGTCACTTGTTATGCTCTGTGAAATAAGCTCTTTGTATGATCAGGTATCTGTACTTGAAGTAATTATCGTTGAGAGAAAATACTTCGCAAATGTTCGTAAATCTTTCCCTTTACTGAAGTTAACATTTTGGTATTCTAAAACTGTATCTCCAAAATACATTAAGGTATATCACTGTCTTTTATAGTAGAGCTTTGCAGAGGAGAAAAAAATGAAGAATTATATATCTTGCTTACATAGGAGTTTTTTCAAAAGCTTCTAAGCCACAAATATTTAGTTGAATTTATTCTTTGCCTTGAATTGCACTTCGACAAAAGTAAATAACGACATTTTCACTTTTTTTTTAAAAAAAGCATTTGCTCAAAAGATGTTCTTTGAAAAGTAAAATTGCTTGGTAAAGTTCCCTCAGGACACTCCCATTCTAAGTCTATGAAAGTGAGTTATATGAATCTTCATAGACTTTGTCATATGTAAAAGGCTCTCTACAAGCTAAAATAGTACAAAACAAGACCTCAGTTTTATCTTTTTATTATCTCCTGTCATTTTATCCTATGTGTTGTCACCTTTTTAACATAAAGGATTGGCAATATGATGACTAAATTATTCAGAATATACCAATGTTTAACATTTTTCTGCATTTATGAAATGAACAGTTTTATATTTGTTCCATTCCAGATAGTGTCCCTGACTGATTTGAAGATTTCATGGCATATTAAAACAATGGCCTTGTTGGCTTTTATCCCTAATTTAAAAGGCACATTATATTGTTCTAGAATATGCTGGAGATACCTATTTACTCCAATTTGAATAGTCATATAGGCTTGCTTATTTATTTATTTATTTATTTATTTAAACCATATGTAAGTATTGACTTCTAAATGAGTTGCTGGAAGGCAGCATCTCACATGCCGTCAATGTCAGGTAGTCATCCTGGTAAGAGCTGTTACACAGACAACTTTTGAAATATGATAAGAGTTTTGAGTTACATTTAATTTTTTGATTTGCATTTCAATACTTTTTTGTTACTTTTTCTGAAGAATGCTATGCATTATTTCACATATAGCATATATTTCACTATGAAATATATATTTCACTATGCAGTTTTCCTTCTACACTAATGTTCATGAATGCCTTTTTGTGCTGTCTTTTCATCTGTTAGTTTTTATGTGTACATAAATCTAAAGAAGCACCTAATTTGCTGAAGAATCTCTGACAGGATTTCCATAGGAAAAAGTTTACCCAGACTTTTGTCTTTGTTAAGGCATTAACATTTATCTGGATCTGAAACTGTTTTCTTTAATTAAAAAAATGCAGAGTATGTAAATATTTTATAGAAATCTCTCCTATGTCTTCTCTTTCCACAAATTAGAAGTTGCCAGTGTTACCAGCAGGGGCAGGGAGGGGATCCTGCCCCACTACTCAACTCTGGTGAGGCCGCATCTGGAGTATTGGGGGCAGCTCTGGGCTCCCCAGGACAAGAGGGACGTGGAGCTTCTAGAGAGGGTCCAGTGGAGAGTGACAAAGATGATTAAGGGACTGGAGCATCTCTCGTGTGAGGAGAGACTGAGTGAGCTGGGCCTGTTTAGCCTAGAGAAGAGAAGGCTGAGAGGGAATCTGCTCAATATGTATAAGTACATGAAGGGGGAATATATCCCCTGTGGAGGAAGGGGCCAAGCTCTTCTCAGTGGTGGCCAGTGACAGAACAAGGGGTAATGAGGGTAAGTTGAAACCGAGGCAGTTCCATCTGCATGTGAGGAAGAACTACTTTGCTGTGAGGGTGCCAGAGCCCTGGCCCAGGCTGCCCAGGGAGGCTGTGGAGTCTCCTTCTCTGGAGATCTTCCAAAGGCGCCTGGATGCCGCCCTGTACCCCGTGCTCTGGGTGTCCCTGCTGGAGCAGGGGGTTGGACTGGATGATCCCTAGAGGTCCCTGCCAACCTCAACCATTTTGTGGTTCTGTGTGGTTCTGTGAAAAGTTACTGACTTAATTCTGTAGACATGTTAAAAATATTTTGGCTACTGTATTTATATACAAGCAC